TATAGATTTGTCTAGTCTCCTCTCTTTATTGTTTTAATACAGAAAATCGATATACATTGAGATAAATATACCTTCACTTGAAGACCAGTAAGAAAATGTAATTTGGAGTTTCAGTCTTTAGAAAAATATGGGTAAACACAAGTTGCTACTGCTTTCTTAATTGGACCAGAGGTACATTACTTGGGGTTTGCAACGCGCATAGTACTGTATGGTGACATCATGTCAAGATCCCATTCAAGTCTCATCTCGTAGATAGCGAGACTGATGCTACGACCTTCTGACATGACAAAGACGGTTTGTAATAAAACAATATACCACATGTATTACCACATTCATAGTGAAAAAATGTAATACATAAAAAATGTACAGAAAATATAGTTATCGTAATCCGTCATATCGTGAGCAGCTATTTTGATCCACCTGGACATCCCAGTAACCTAGTTACCTCGGGCATGCGCATTCGAATTTTTCTAAGTTGGAACGCTTATGCGAGAGCGAGATTGGAACGGGATCTTGGTATCATGTCACCGTAGTTGCAAACCCCAAGTAATGTACCTCTGATTGGACTTATTAGTTGTCTCTGCCAGGGGTGTAGGCAAGTTGAATATTAAAACATAAATTACATATTTTATCATATAGTATTGTGTACATTGATTTTACACCATGTATATATGCTTTGACCTCATTGCAATCACACCATACCACATAATTTATTGAGTAACCATATAATGTGGCAGTAACCATAGTTACCTACATCAAAACAAAAAAACATGCAAAAACAAATATGAAATATGCTGTGAGTAAATTGAAACCTAGATAATGAAGTATTTTTGCAATTGTGTTTTGTTATTGTGTGTAGATATGCAAAATACCTAAAAAAATAAATAATTAAACTGAAATACATTCAAAATACATTTACTATGGTATGTGTTTCAAATTTATATTTGTGTGCATTACCAAAACAATAATCTCAGTTTAATCATAGTTCAATAAAAATTAATATTTAACATTGAACAAATGTATGTTAAATGTTAATAATTTTGTGATTTCACAACTCTTGAAAATTTACCTTTATATAAATTCAGCTGTATTGTTAATATTCATACAATATACAATGCAGTCATTTTAAATGATGTCATCTGATTCCATACCCAGTTGCACACAAGCTGATGCAGTCCAGGCACTTATCGGTATCTCACATATGCTGTATTATTGTAAACCACTTTTATTTTGAAAGAGACTAAGTTTTGTGAGTCAATTATTTTTCAAAAAATTAAATTAAAAATTAAATTAAATTTTCTCCTGACAATCACCTTAGATTTGTAGTAATGGTAGTGAAAATTTAACTTGCTGAAAACTGACAGTTGGTTTTCGAGAATATTAGTTACGTTGATTTATACATAAATTACTTGCAAACTATAGAGAACCTGTAATAATAATTGTAATAACAATTGTAAATGAAAAAGGAAAATTGTAGGAGAATATTCACTGGGTATAATTTGGATTTAGCACACTGGGTTTTTAATTTAATAATTACTGGGTTTTAATTTCTGCATTTAGTACTAGCTATCAGCTAAAATAATACCCAGTGAATAATTAAGCCCTCCACATTATTTTACATTTATTAAATTGACCCTTTGAACCCCCAAGTCAATCAGTGTCATCTTTTACAGAATAAACATTTAATCAAGACCTGTATTGATGGCCATTTAATCCAAAATTACTGAAAAACTTGTAGAAAAATACACAGGAATGTTACATTAACATTTTGGTGTTGACAAATATTGCTTTCAAACAAGTTAATTAATATGTAATGTAAGTTGACTCTTATTTCAATGCCAGTGGCCTACATACAGCATCAGCAACTACTAGTATATCTAACCAGAAAGAGCCCAAGGGAAAACAGGTGATGGTAGTAAGAGTGCTTCAAATATGTCAATAATAAAATATTGGTCATAAACTATAGTCTCTGTACTGGTGTACACGCAACACTGAATCTGTGTTCTGTTTTTTGTATGTCCATCTTATTAACCTCAATTGTTTTTCCTGGGCTGCCTGTGTGATCTAATCTGACTATGCAAGACAAGTTCAGATCGTGTATCAATAATTGTGTTTAAGGTAGAGATGCAGGTTTGTGGGCACTTGGGAGTAAATTTTTTTTTTTTTTTGCTTTTTATTATCCAAACAGTCTTGGCTGTTAAAATTGACTGTTAAAATTTTGTAGAATTGTGAATAGTGGAACATACTTAAAAAACAATTTTTAAAATATAGATAACAGGTGCAAACATTCTCTCTTTTGAATGCTTAGCAAGATTTAGCAAGGCTGTACATAAATAATAAAAAAAGAAACATGGTGAAAAAAAGAAATAACGGAATCTCCATATTATGCACTACATTTAAATTTGCAACTGTTACAGCCATTTTAATTATGAGCATTAGCAAACTTCTTACTGAGTGAATTGTTATGCAAATTAGCAATTATCTCAGCTTCTTTTTAGTGCACATCCCAGAACTATAGCTCCTAGACGCTTTGACCTTTTGTTTTGAAATTGTCACAAATCTTCAAAACGCCGTCGGGGCATTGTTTTTGGTTGAACAGTGTTACAACAATCGTACAGACAACTAGCCTGGTTGTTAATTTATGCATAAACTTGAAGTAGTGAAATTTGGGCTGCTACCCTGCAAAATTGACAACTGGTAGACAGTTTTCAAGACGGCACTTCTTCATAATGAACAGATGTACCCATAAACCAATTTTGACAGGAAACAGAAGCATGGTTTAAGGAGCTAATTTTTTTAAAATCACTTTTGACCAAAAAAGCACATTTTTGTGCATATTTCAAACTACAGTGTACAAAAAAATATAATACCAACAAAATTTTAAAATTCATACAATAAGCTTTCCGAAAATATATAGTTTTGTCAACAAGGGAGGTCATCTTGGTTGCTTAATTAAAATATCTGTCCGGTAAACTGCATCTCTACCTTAAGTTCACTTTTAGTAATGTAATTTATGAACAAATCTAATTAATTTCCAGAAGACTACTGAAACATGAATGACAGACATTTGTAGTTTGATTTATCTAACACCCAATGTACCTGCTCTATTAGTTGTACATGCATTTAGTTAGATTAAGAGTGTTCGTATTCAAAATAAGACAATGTGTATTTTTACATGTACTTATAATATAGTACCTATTCATTCATAGTTTAATTTACCCGTACTAGTTTGTACAATTCACATTCTTAATCCTAAACATAAGTGTTGGAAACCTGCAAGTGATTAGGTTTGATGCCAAATTGCATTCTGGGAATCTTTAGACTCGCTTCGCACAGACCTTTCATTGCAATAGGGTTTTTAGAAGCATCAGAAAAACTATTAGGGTAAAGAAATGTATGTTTTAGAGACTTTGATCAAAGCAATTAATCTTAGATATAGGTGGTGTATAGCATGAGAGGGCAATTGAAGTTCTCAACACGCCCACTAAAACAGTATCATTAAAGGCCAGGGTAAAACTAATAACATAGTGACTATTAGTGTCAATATTCTTGTAGTCTAGTAAGATAAACCCAATAAGCAGAGCTTATTATACATCCAAAATACTTATTCAACGATTATAATGGACATTTAAATGAAATTCAGAGCATGATTGACAAGTTCATATTTGAGCTTTGACCACAGTTCAGTAAAGGTCAAAATACATTTTGTAACTATGACACCAAAGCTATGTACCATAATAGATAACTACAGTGTGAACTAGATCAACTGACATATTAACACAAAATAGAACATCACATTTACATATTTAATCACTCGCATATTTAATGACTTTTAATTATAATATACTCAACTTGATTGTAACACAAATTACAAAATTATGAAAATGTTGACAAATCAGAAAAAAAGCAATGAGAATAGTTTAATAACAAAGTAAAAAATGACTGAGTTTGTGCGGAACCAGCTTTTTAAAACAGCTGGGCCTCTTTGGAAAGACTCTTTTGGCAAACACAAATACTTCTCAATGTATTCTCATTTCAGATCACCTATGGATGTGATTTGCATTCAATTTATAAATATTTAAATAACATTTGGAAAATCAAAATGGCAGTTGAAAAACTGTTTAACCAATCATAGCAACTGCTATTTTGACATCACAGGTGCAGATGAACATAATTTTGAGATGACCTTAGCCTCCCACATAAAGGGCAATACAAAAGACCACCTCTCACTGTGAAAACACATTTATAAATATTTATAACAATTAACAGTTGACAACATCCTTGGGTAAATTGAAACGAGTGTAAAAACAAATGGCAAATGAAAAAGCAAAATAAACTACAAGTACTCTTTTTGTATTTTTTGTTTATAACTATAATAAAGAGAAAAGATGACAGAAAAAGATGTGACTTATTACAGCCATGCACACTATAACTAATTGGCTCATTTTTTTTTTTGGAGCATTATGTACTTGCACGCTAAACTTAACTAGGCTGGCAATACTTAGCTTGGAAATTACCAGTCTTGATTTTTAGGTATATAATCCAAAAGTAAATTATATTAGCACCAAATATAAAACACCATTTATACCACATGGTTATATATTACTTGATTGCACCACCTAACATGCACTGAACACATGTATGCAAAACCAGAGAGATGCAGTGTTTTGCATACTTGGTTCACTGGAAGCTACTTCCACAAATTGCAAAATAATGTAAATAAATTCTAGAAAACATAAAACCCTGTTATGTATGTATATATATATAATATATAAATCATTACAAACTACTCAAATATTGACAATACCTGTTTTCCAATATACCCTGCAAAATTGATGACGAGCAGGACCACAATATTAACAACAAATATGGACATTATCAATTAGTTGTCATGAATGGAATTTACCATTTAATTAAATATTAATAAACTGTTTTGATACAAAAAGCACATTTCACCTAACTTTGTAGCTTCATTCGCATATGTACATTTTTAAATTCATTTTACTACTATTTCAAGTAAAACAAATCTACAAGGAAAAAAATTCAAAACATAAAATGGTCATAACTAACGCTTCAAATGACATATTTAATGTATGTGTGGCGTGATAATATAGACAAATACGAGGTTGTCAGAACGAAAGCGACAACAAAAGTATATTTTTTGACATTTTTTTTAAACAGCTACGATGTTGAAAAGTTGAAATGTGATGAAGAAGTCTCTTGATAAAGATTGCACATCTTCGAATTAGTCAGTTCGATGTCAGTACACAGAACACTAAAATGTGTTTACACTCAAACGATGCGCGACCTTGGCCCTCGTGTCTGAATAAATTATAATGGCAGACACAACACGTTCGCAGACGTTTTCCTGTAAACAACAGCTTCATTCCACAACAACAAACTTGTCCCTGAGGCGTTATTGTGTTGGTACTGTTATGCAATTCTTTAATGTTAGCAAGCTGGCGATGGTGGTTCGCATACATCTAAACAGGCGTCGTCGTCAAAGTCAGAAGAATAAGACCATTGACTGGAATATTTACATTTTGGTTCTGATTTGAAGTTAAGCCTCCCGACGGCCTCTTTAATTAAGTTACCTTGTCGTAGTAGTTGTTCTAGAAGCTTATGTGCATCGTTATCACCAGTTTTCTTCTTGATACGCTTTGAATGTGTGTGTCGAAGATAGCTGCAATCTTTACTGTGACAGACTTGACCTGTTCGACAATGTTTACATGGACTATGGTAAGGCGAAGCTCGGTGGGCACGCTGTTTCTGTTTGGCCTTCAGCCTCAATGTTTCGCTCAATTTCTTCACCAGTTCGTCGATTTCAGTAGTTCCCATTGACGTAGATGATACATTCGTACTCCTAACTATAACTTGGCCTTCAAGGGCAGGCATTTTGAGACGAGTTTTCTTCAAAATATGAAGTTAAAGACGACTAAGAGGAAGCAATTCACAAATTCGAGAGCACCAAACAACTCGAATGAATGGCAACAAATCGGGATGTGTTTTGTTTTGATGCCTATTTACAGAGCATTAACATATATCCTTCCACAAAACGCGGGAAAACGCTCTCGTCAATTTCAAGAAAACATAAATATAACAAAAATACTTTTTTCTTTTTTTCGAAAAATATTTAAACTTGATTATTAAATACTTAATCTACGTTAATATATTTATTTAGTTCCAGGAAAGTTATAGAAATTATTGTTTTTGTTGGAGCACTACTTTGTCATTGGCGTATTTACACAGCAGTAGCGTGGTTTGTTTTAATCACGACCGTAACGCATGCCTCGAAAGCGTGACTCATTTATTTTGACTAGACGGACTTGGTGCACGCTGATTGGCTGGGATGGATGGTTACTATATTTTCAAAACACGCCACATAAATTCATTCACAAACACATGTAAAAGCAGCTATAACATAATTGCCAATTTTATGCTGATCTACCGTTTAGTACGTGTATGTACATTCATTAAACAGACATGGTTGCATATTATTATTACCTTTCAATACATTGCATTTTGCTGTATAGAACTGTAGCAAAGTGATGTGTAAACAAACTTGGCAACACGCCAACTATCGAAAACACGTGGTTGCGTGAGAAAATTGACATTTGCTTGCTTGTAAGTAGGTGCGCGATTGTAAACAAGTTATTAATGCACACGTTTTGTAGCTGCGTCGCTTTCGAAAAAAAAAACAACATTGCAGATATATTTTGCATATTTGTTGTTGCTGTTGCATTACATTACATTTAGGGCCTGTCCATTATAAGGGAAGATATCGTACACCAAACAAGTCCACATAGACACAACATATCCAATGTATGTGCTAGTATTTGTCGATGTTTCAGAAATTAGCTCAATATATATTCCATTGTTTTAATTGTAAATAAATTGGAGCCAGCAAAATGAACGACACATTTTGAATTCGCGGTTAGTAAATGTGTTGATACAGAGCAAGGACAATAAATCGTCCCTTATTTATGAATTGTCAATTTGTTGACTTTAGCAACCCGGCAACCAACCACACTAATAGATTGCTTGGCCCTTGTGGACAATAAGCGAAATAAAAATATTTTTTGAAAGTTCCCTATTTTTGCAACTTTACCAATCTTATTAAAATATTTGTTTTCGATATGTGTATAATTATTTATTTTTATTATACATTTTATTTTAATTTATTATTTATTTTTGGTAATCGCGATAGATAAAGTATTTGAAAATAAGATTAAGTAATAATTATAAAACAATTACAAAAAAATAAAAACATATAGTAAAAATAAAATAAAGTTAATTCAGGCCATCAGATTTTAATCAGATTGGTAGAAAACACGTAACGTTTACTTAAAAATATGACGTCACGACAGATAATTTATGTCAATGTTTACAACAGAATATCCTAACCCGTAAACGGTATTTCCTATTGCATTTTCAATAAAGAAATAAAAATAAATAATAAATAAAACATGTTAATTATGAGAGTTATAATGTAGAACACAGAACGCTAATTAGGGACTACCTCTATGCACAGGGTCCTGGCTATATATTCGTTTGGTTGGTTCTTGAACTCAATATATGAACTAATCTGATTAAAATCCGATGTAGGTATAAGGCTCCAATTTTTTTTTTTAATTTTTTTTTATGACATTTTATATAATATTTATTTGTATTTTAGTTTGAATATGTCGATTTTTCGGTTTTTCTTGTCATTAATCAGTTTTTTGAAAGTCATGCCCCAGTCACCTCTAAAATATAATAAAAAAAAAAATAGCCTCATACCTACATCGGATTTTAATCAGATTGTATATGGACATCTATGGGGCGGAATAATAGAAATAAAAATACAAAGTATCTTGTGCAACCCAGTTACTGATATAACACTGGGAAAACGTCGTCCGATTACATATAAATCATATATTTTTCCAAATTTCCACACATCTATGACAAAATATGACAATTTCTATTCACCATGATACCAGCCTTCATTCAAGTTACGGTATGTCAATCTGGTTTGCGGGCGCCCTCAAGCGACAGGACTGCAAATACTAGCTGTAAATACCGCTCAAAATTTATCAACATAATATACAATAACTCTTAATTAAAGTAATTGAGTTGATCTGGACTCGAATAAAATATAAGCAAATATTTCTCCGTATTCAGAACACAATCGTATTTTAGCTCCATTATTCAGCGTAGATGCCGTGCCCCACCGTCTGTTATACAGCTTAAAACTGCTAAAATTAGTTTGGGATTTGATTGTTGCATTGTTTTGGGAAATATGTAATACTATAGCAGTTTAAATTTTCTAATCATGATTTACTCCGTTTTTCGTTTCCATTCTAGTTGCCACTTTCAACATTTCTGTTGTTTTACATGAAATCATTCTATGTACTTCCATTTTAACAACTATTGATTCAAAGTCACGAGATTTCTATTGTCGTATTTAAAGGTATCTGGTTCACACCAATTTTACTTTGTATGGAATGTCAATACCCCACATTGATTCTCCTTTGTGTACTATTTATAAAAAGGAGGATGAAACCTTAATACACCTGCTTATACATTGCCACTTTTACAAAAGACATTTGGACACAGGTGTAGAATAATTGGGACCAATATGTTAATCTG